CACCAACATCGCGATCGATCTTGGCATTGGCCAATGTTTGAACATTGTCATCAACTTTTACGACTGTGTCGCCTGAAATAGAAACAAAATTAGGTTTTTTTTATTGGTTTCAATATATTTTCAAAAGGTCTATGACTTACGCATGGGTCTGGCATTGATACCCGACGGACCTGGCTGAACATTGTCATTGACTGATGAACCTTGTGGTTGTACAAAATCAGCCTGATTTTGTTGCATTGATTTTTTGAAAACAATTGGGCCGTTTTCGGCGTATAATTCAGCTTTGAAACGTCGTTGAATGTTGCGAGAAGGACGAAGAATTTCGTCGACTGTAGCACAATCTTTGGCTTTCGAGTAATGCACACATCCAAAATACTGTGATTGCCCACCAGGAAGAGATGTGCTTTCTTGGTTCAAGGTTATGCAGTTCACACGAAAATTCATCGAAATGTCATTGACTTTTGCAGCATTTATTCCGATGACTAGAGCTGTATTCATCTTGTATTCATCGGGTAGAATGAGTTGGCGACCTTGATTGTAAAAAGTTTTTGCAAGTGGGAAACAAATTACACCATCTGTTGGTGAGCACAAAACACGAATTCGAAAGCGCCAACGACTGCCATCGAACACAGCAATGAGCACAGAAAAGCGTTTTGCCGATACCGCATCGTAATGGATTGCACGCGATGTCGACGAGCTTCCAGAACGGAAAATACCTTCAGTGGCTGGGCTTAACAGCATGAAATCATCGGTGACGTGTTCAAATGAACCCGTATTTTTGTCCCAGTGATACACCCAGTCAATGTCTTGAAAACGAATCGAAAACATTCGTGTTGGTGTTAGACCATAAACATTTGTTCGAAACTGTGCGACAGTGTGCGTCGGATAGCACGGTGTTGTGTGATTTTCACCATTGACGGATGTAACCAGACATCTCGGACAGCGTCGAATGAGACTTGGAAAGTCACAGTCATCGGTATTGTGAACTAAGCCACAGTTCAAACACTTTTCGTTCATTTGTGTAGACAACGACTAAAATCACAACAATACAAAAAATGATTGTATGAAAATTTACAATGATTCTTCTACGACTTAATATCGACTTACCTATTCTTCTTTGTGAAAATATAATCTATTGATTACAGTCGCTTCAAGTGTACTTTTACTCGAATTTGTACAATTGTACAAATAAAAGATAGGCAATGACTTTGGGATTTGAAAATTAAATTTTTTTAGAAAATATTCCAACTAAATGTTTGACTAAAAACTCAAAAAAAGAACAATACTCACATTGTCAACGTAGAAATACCGCTATGCAAGCAATTGTGAAATTTCACTTGTCGTCCAGAATTCAATTTATTAAAAAGTCAATTTGAGTTATCGCACAAAAAAAAGCAATAAATTTCGAACTGAAAAGAAAACAGAAAAATATAACGTGAACGATAACTAAAAATCTAATAAAAACTCAAAAACTCAAAAAATAATAAGCACCACTCACATTTTTATAGAAATGTTTGTATGCACATTGAATGTGGTGAACAGTTGCCGCTAAAGTGACTTCATTCTAGTCGATGACATTTCATTTGACAACGATTCACCTCAACGCGAAAAGGGTATGTTCCGGTATGTTTGAAGTGTGTCAAAATAGCTATTAAAAATGTACATTTGCATATACTTGCGAAACATTGCGAACTACACAACAATAAACTGTGATATAGGCATCGAGTTGACATTGACTGAATAAAATATTTTTATATCATTTGCGAATTTAAATTTAAAAAAATGAAACTGAGAAGCGGTAAATTAAGCAAGCCAACTGGAAAAGGAATAATGTCATTAAAAAAGGTAAATTTTTCATGTCAACGTGTGTGTTTTTTTCAATGACTATGGTTATGTTATAATTTGCATTTTTTTAACATTGTAAATTTCATTTAAAATCGATGACAGACACAAAAACAAAATCGACTTCAAAAAGTAAATCGAAATTGATTCAATTGAAGCAATGTCAAATTGTCCTGGAGCGTTGTATTTTTCCAAAACAACAGAACATTGTTGAGCAAAATGATGACAGTAATATCACATCGACACAGCTGCGAAGAAGTCAGAGAAAGAAAGTGACCAAAGAAGCACCGAAAAACTCAAACGATAAGAAAGTCAATGACAATGCGATTTGCCAAGTAAAATCGAATACAATCATCACACCTATCCAAATGACTAACATTTTATGGAGAGAATTAACTGTGAAGAAATTTGAAATCAAAGTCGGAATGATTGTTTTAGCAAAAATGAATACATTTTGGCCATGGCCGTCTCAAGTTATTAATTTGACTAATAATCGTAATAAAGTGCGAGTCAAATTTTTTGGTGACTTGAGAGAAGGCATTGTGGAAAAGACTGCATGTGTACCATACTTTAATTGCCATGCCATTATATTTAATTATATAAATGTAATCGATGACAAAACCAAAGAATTCTTTAAAAAAAATGTCATTGATAATTTGGATCCACGCCACATTCACAAGAAATTAACATTAAAACACTTGTACTTACAAGCCCTACGTGATATAGAATTAATGTCAAATACAGAAGAATCATTTATTTTATCATTTTTAAAGTAGTCATTCACAACTTGTCATTTTTTATTTGACGAAGTAGTAAATTCAATTTGCTACTGAAATAATTTGAATCGAACATAGTAGGCATTGACAAATAGAAAATTAAAATATTTTTAACTAAAAAACATCAAATTGTTTCATTTTTTGTATCAAAATACTCACCATGAAGTTTTATGTAAGTGGCGACACCACAAATCATTGAAGTGTCAATTTGAAACCATCTTATTTGACATTGACTTATGAAATTATCGTATATTTTCGCTTGAATGCAATAAAAGCAATTGTACGACTATTGAGTTTAAAAAATAAATATTAAAATGGACGAAGAATTGGGTAAGATAAATCTCAAAATGAATAATGCTTTTTGTTGGGCAATTGTTTCAGATTTTTTTTTACAATTTTTAGGCAATGAAAATATTAATGAGCATGAAGAAATTTTGACTGAAACAAATGCAAACAGTGAAACACAAATATCATTAATACGATCACGTACCGATGAAGTCACTGACACAAGAAACAAAAGAACGAAAGCCGATCCGAAAATTTTGGATGGAAAATTTTTCCAAATAAGACTTCGCGAAGGTGACCGCGTTCAGGCCACTTGTTGCATATGTGGGGTGCATCGATGGGGATCAGTAAAAGGCACCGGAAATTTTACGCGGCATATTTCTGATAAGCACAGTGAACGACAACATGAAATGAATATTTATTTAAAACAAGTAGGCAATGGCAATTCAACACTTCGGCAAACGACATTAAAAAACTACACATCTGTCAGCAATGAGCAGGTATGTAACGCTGATTTTTCATATTTGTCAATGATAAAACACTAGTTTGACAAAACGATAACTTATTCAGACGTTTTTTTATCAACAGTTGTGTGAGCTGGTGTTAGATTTTGTCATTGACTCTAACCTTCCGTTTCGAATAGTACAATCACATACATTTAAAGAACTTTTATCCAAAGTCTCATGTAAAGATGTAGTTATGCCATCAATAGCTAAGACAATGACTGCGTTGAATACGAGATTCGATTCCATGAAGTGCAAATTAATTGAAGAATTGAACAAACAAGAATGGGTTTGCCTAACAGCCGATATTTGGTCACATTTGCGAAAAAGCTATCTTGGTGTGTCAGTGCATTATATCGATTCGCAGTGGAAACGTAAATCATACATTCTTGCATTTCGATATCTAAATAGACGGCACACGTATGACTATTTAGCTGAAGTTTTAAATTCAATTTTGAAAGAATTCAATTTAGACGTTGACAAAATAACACATATCGTTACCGATGGGGGTAGTAATTTTTGTAAGGCATTCATTGTCTATGGCCGAAAAAATGATTTCAACGAGACACTTATGGCAATCAGTGTGAATTCGAACGATGACGGAAGTGAAGAAGATGTCAGCGATCATGAAATGCTTGATATTATGGAAAATAATGACAATAACATATTTGATATGGAATCTGAAAGGGCAGTCCAAGAAGCGAACATTGAAGGAAATCAAATTGATATTCCTAACCACTCTGATGATATAGACATTGAGATTATTCTGCCACCTCAAATGAGATGCTTTGCTCACTTGCTAAATTTAATTGGTAAATTTTTTTGAATTTTCAAAATGGATAGAATTCAGTCAATGACTTGGTTTTTATTATCTTTATAGGCAAAGTGGACTTTTTACAAGAACTGGAAAATTACGAACATACATACGGCCTATTTATGGGAGCATATGGCAAATTAAAAAAGATTTGGAACAAGGCTTCGAGAAGTTCAGTAGTTAGTGCAACAATTCAAGAAATAATGAAATGTGCCTTAGTAACTCCAACGCCAACAAGGTGGAATTCGGAATGGGATTCTATGAACCATGCGCATAAAAATAGAAATGGAGTATGTTTTTTATCTTTGAAATTTACTAAAGTATTTGTATAATTCATATTTCAATATTTTTGCAATTTTCCAGATTAATGACGTATGTAAGGTACTGAATGCCTCAGGCCATAAGGAGCTTAAAGAGCTAACAACAACTGAATGGAATATTGTCAATGACTACGTAAAATTATTGCACCCCGTAGCGCGTAGCTTAGATAAACTTCAAGGAGAGAAAAATGTTAGCATAGGTAGTGTCATGCCTTGCCTGTTTTATATTGAAAAAGAGATTTCACAAGTGCATTTATCGACTAGCCAGTCCACAAACACTAAAATTCGGGCCATTGCTTCCGATATGAGAAAGTCGTTGACAAAGGTTTTTGAAAACCGATTTAGTTCATTTATGAAGTTCGAGCGTAGTAACTGCGACCTAATTTTAGCTGCGGTTACTCATCCCGTGTATAAATTTAAATGGATCGATGATGTTGAAAATGTAGTCATTGCCAGGAGCTATTTAGAAACAGAAATGATTAGAATTAGTAATAACCCACAAAACACAGCCATAGCCGAAAGTAATGACAGTGACGATGAATTCTTACCCAGCACATCTATAACCCATCGTCGAATGTCTGATGAAGACATAGCCTCAAATGAAATATTTAATTTTATAGACGACAACGACAAACAATTGTCAATGTCTAAATATGAAAGAATCAGTGTCATATATAGAAAGCATAACACTACACTTTCATCTTCGGCCCCAATTGAAAGATTATTCAGCCAGGCAATGCTCATATCAACACCGCGTCGTAATAGACTTTCAAATACAAATTTCGAGAAGACTCTGTTACTAAAAAAAAATAAAGATCTTTCTAATTAATTTTAAAGCTATTGACTGAATCACCATTAGTGATGAACCATTTGATGTTATTTTGTTACTTCGTGTAAAATTCTTTTAGAAAAACACAATAAATATGTAATATATAAGAGTCAATGCCAATGTTGCTGTGAAAATAATTTCATTTTACTGCTGTTTACCTGTTTACCCAAGTCCCATTTGGACTTAAATTTAAAAGTATATTCCAGATCAGATTTGAGATTAATCTAGATTTATCTCGATCTGAGATAATTATAGAAACTTAGATACACTGAGATCAAAAATCTAAGATTTTGATCTCAAATCTGATCTAGATAAAAAATTTGATCTAAAAAAAACACTGATAAGATAAGATTGTATGTAATGCCCAACTATTCCACTAAACCAAAACAATACGTACCAACGATGTCATCATTACTAAGGAATGATATATTTGGTACTTCGAGACCTTGAGAGGAATACCAAGCGATTTCTTCTTTTATCAGTTTTTGGATGCAAAACTGTTGAATTCTTTCATTTGTGTAATTTATGCACATATGCTCGAATGAATTTTTTCCTTGAAGACATTCTTTAAATGGTTAAATCGGGTTAAATAAACATAAGCAGTGCGAATAAAAATATTATTCAAAAATCAATAAGAGCGAAATATTCACCGAATCCAGGAATGTCAATAATTTTTATTTTTGGCACTTCATTTTGTGAGTATTTTCCCCCATTGATCATTCCCGTTAGAACATCAAACACGCGTTTGTATATACTTTTAATCATGGTGTCTCTGCCTCTTACAGCCGCAAACTTATTCAAACGAACACTGTATTAAATAATAATTGAAATGAATAATTTAAAAAAATAATAATAAAATATACAAATAGCGGATAATAGCTATTATCTATCGAACTTTTGTGTCATATTTCCCAATATTTCCAAAGCATATTTGATACAACGAATGATTCGATTTGAATTTAGTTAAAATATAATAATGTATAATAAAGAGAATATTAACATACACTATATCAGCTTCATTCTTTCTTTTTAGTGATATTGTGCGGCTTAGTAAAGCACATTTTAGTAGCTCAGTATTAACATTCAACAAATTGGCAGCATTCGTTACCCAACTCAAATCACCGATTTCAGCGAAACCTTCTGTATCTTCAATGAAATCAATATTGCCTAGATGCAATATAACAGCTAATAATTTATAAATAGTAAATTTTTTGTCAGCTGATCCAAAAAAAGATAACGCAACATCAATTTTACCTGTGCACATTATATTCAAATATAATTGAGTAAATATAAAATGTAATTAAAAATATTTGATAAAAAGAAAATAAATTACTCGGAAATCTTTTCCTTTCAACAATGGGAGGAAATGACAGCAAATTTTAAAATTGGCGCGCTGTTTAGTTTCGATTTGAGTTGTAAAATTACATTGACGTCCCCTTTGAAATTCGATGCGCCACCGTCGGCTCAAGGAGACTTGAAGTCTTCACATCCGCTCATTGCCTTTCAACTGCAGCTTATTTTGAAGTTCATGTGAAGATCCAATAGCAAGATAGTAAAATATGTAAAAATTGTTTTCTCGCATAATTTCACATGAAGTAATTGAAGCTCTACTGCTCTCCAATAGGCTGTAAGTGTTGTAGATGTTTGCTACTGAACCTCCATCATATTGAATCTGTAAAAATTGAATAACTTGATAAAATCCAATAAAATTTATCAAAAATTAAATTCACAACTTACCTCAATAATTTTTATAAATCGTGAGCTATTTCGATTTTGTGCAGTATTTGCGTTACCAAATGCTTCAAAAAGCAATGGCGATGAATTGCATAGATACTTGATGAGATGTTTGGTCGTTTCTGTTTTCCCCGCTCCAGATAAACCGGTGATGATAACTGATTGTGAGTTATGCTGTTTTAAATTTTGAAATGCTTCTTCAGCTGAAATAAAAATGAAAATATATAAGCAAATACATGTAAATACTAGTAAATACATAATTCTATTTTAAAATTTCATGTAAACACTCACCTATTGAATAAATATGTGGTGGCATACTTCCGATCTTCTTCCCTGCATATTTTTGTATAACTTCGTCGGTGTACATGTTGTGCATTTTTTTGCGGATTCATTGCAATCAACACTTTTGCAATAAATGTCTATAAAAATTAAAAAAGAGTAAATTTTATTCAATTTATAATAATAATAATGAAAATTTTAAACTAACGTATATTTTATCATCAAAAAAGCGTGATCTGATATTTTCCAAAAAGAGCGCTTCACTTGTACTATCCAAGTTACCTAAACATAGCGAAACATAGAAAATGAAAAAAAACGGAAAAAAGTAAAGAATGAACAAAAAATATTAAATTTTCTCACAGCTATCGTCCATTTTTATCAATTTTGTTTTAAAATTATAATTTATTAATAAAAATAAAAAAAATCGTAAAAACAAAGCGTAAAGTCGTTTAACGTTGTTTTCTGTTTTTTTGGTTTTGCTTGTCAAAATCTTCTTGCAATCATATGGCATATAGCGCCACCTATTGCCGACAATACTTTCCAAATAGAAAGAATATAGCGAGTTTGTGTCAGTTTGTGTTATTGTTTACATACCATTGGATACTACGACTGTGTACGTTACGGCTTACAAATAACACGACTTTGAAAACCCATCAAAATTTTGAAAAACCCTCTGAAAACCATAATTTTATTTGAAAAAAAAAGCGAAAAAGTGAAAATGGTAAAACGTCTGCGATCGAACAGCTTTTTCATTGAACGAAACGTGACACCGGGTGGATTCAAAGGAGAACTGGAAAAAAAACTGCGACCGTTGAATTGGAAAAAGATAGCTCTGGCCGTTAACAAAAGAGTAAAAAAAATGAAGTTGTTCAAACTGAAAAAGGTAAAAAATTCTGAAAGTAAACAAAATTCGACAAAACCACTAAAAATGATTTTTGTTTAAAGACTGATGAACGGATGTATAGTCGAATGTCCGCACATGTGAAAGTCGAAACTTGGGACTAAGTTTAAATAATTGTACCAAAAATGTACTTAATTGTACCGCAATTTATTTTCAATTGTACCTTACTCGTTTGGCTAATATTTGAGGTTCAAATTTCGGGGCACTCAATTTGCCGGTCAACTAGCCAAAATAAAACTCAAAGATATTTTTTAAATTTTTATGGCTGATAATAATTGTACCTAAAATGTACCTTCAAAATAACATCATCATAAAGTCATTACTTCGATGGTGTTCTTCTGCAGAACATTCCTTCAAAATTCACGGGGGGTTTCCCAAAAAATGGCAAAAATGAAAATCAACGATATTTTTTAATTCAAAATTAGCATGGTACAATTAAATTCAGTGAGGTACAATTCGAAATTAGCATGGTGTTGATGACTCAACAATATATTTATATAATATCAGTTATCATTGTGTATTTTATTTAATAATTATTTTCTAAAATATCACGTTTTGTTATTTTCCAAATTTATGACCTTTATTCATTGTCACGTACACTTTATTATATAAAGATCTATCTAATTTGACTACAGCTCAGTTTTTACAATTGTTACGGTTAAGACAGTTCTCTTTCAATAAAGACTTTATAAAATTTAAATGTTCTTGTTTTATTGGAGAACATTTTGGTCCTTCGAATAAACTAAAAGTAAAAGTGCTCGACATAGAGTGAACATTCTCGACGAAGAGAAAAATAGATTTGAACTGATCACTCAAATCTAAGTCAAATACAAGTAGCTACACAATAACGACAAGTTAAAAATCGCCGAAGATTTCGAGTCAATTGGAAAATCGTCAAAGATTTGAATTTAATTAATTAATCGTCTAAGATTGATTTGGAAATCGCCAAAGATTTATTTAAACCCACCTACGGCATTGTGCACACAATTTTTTTCGAAAATCATCTAAGATTGTTCAACAGATTGAAAATCAACAAAGATTTTCAGACAACGAGTAAATGTAAAAACCTTTACAACAATTTAAATCGACAAACTTCAAAACCCCCAACGGTTTAATTAAAAATACATCTGCGGAAAAAGTTAAAATTTCAAAAAATGGAAATTTCTAAAGCAAACTTGGCCAACCAAATGGCATTTCAAAATAAAAAAAACATACAACAAAACCAAAAAATGTGTATGAATATCGAACGTCGGCTGGAGGAATGGGCATGTAAAATGGAAAACCTCTGGCTCGAGTTAGGAAACATTAAACAAGATGTGGAATCCAAAAGTGCCTATTACAAAAGCGAAAAATTCAACAAGATGTGTGCTTCGTATGTAGGCATGTTTGCAAAGTCTAGGATAAAACTCAAAAACAGTGACATGTTCGCCGAATCAAAAAATAAAACGAATGTACATTGTGTTGAAAATCTAAACCAAAAAACAGAAAAATTCAGCAATGAAAAATCAAAGAGCAACAAGGAAAAAACACCACATAGCAATTTCGGAGGTAATATTGCTGGTGTTATGAAACGACAACATAAACGGAAAGTACAACCAAAATATATAAATCATCAAAGATTAAACAAGTTGAAAAAAAATATGTATTACACACATAATAATATTGCAACGGGCATCATTTTTGTTCCGAGTTTCAATGAAAAATATACAAAAAATAACATTAATCAAGTGCGATTACACAAATTGAATATGTCAAACAAGAATCAAATAACTAGCAATTGTGATGGTATTCAATTTCCATTCATGTATATTCGGAAAAAAACAGTATGACAACACATGTTCTTAAAAAACCAATATCGAGTTCATTAAACGATATATTTTTGGGGTCGAGAAACAACAGTTTGAAAACACAAGGTTAGGTTCGACTATGCATCAAATTATCAGGTCACGACAAGATGAACAAAATCGGCAGGAAATGTTTTATCAATATATTTAGTGATCATCGAATGAATACTAATTTATTCAGCTTCAAAACCATATTTGTCACTAACAGATCAACTGTGATGAATATTTCGACATACACACGGGAAATCAAATGTGCTCGAATTCCACATTTCAGAGCTTCTATCGAGTTAAAATTACAGAATATTAATTTTGAACACAACTATAATATGGGAAACAAAATATTTTCTACAATCAACGACTATGCTATTCATGCGTTCTGGCTTCTGGGAATAAAGCAAATAAGACGTCAAAATGGAACAGAATTTTTTTGTAAAATGATTACATTGCCAGAAGAATACCATAATAATCAAATTGAAAGTCAGATTTTTAATGGTTTCAAATGCACTATAATAAATAAACAAACAATCGCTAAAATTGTGAGGAATAAATTAACCAAAACCAATATAAATGTGACGAAGCCAAAAATGTTAACATCAACATCTTTCTCAGCAATTTTAATAAATAAATCCAATACTTATTTCAAAAATTTGGATACGGTGAAAACAATGAATGAGAATATATTATTCGATTTTAAGTCAAAAACATATACAATTTTGACTACTATCAAACCAGCATTTTCATCTACTACAAAAAATATCAAAGATATCTCGACTAAAGATATAACGAGAACTAACCGAAGCATACTAATTTTGCAAACAAAAGTGAGGGGGTCATCCGATACAATTAAAACAACAATAAAAGTGAATAAAATTATTTCAGCCGTTGATTCTAATTCGGTGTCAACCAATAACGAAATTTTGGAGCCATATCAAAACATTTACAATACAACAAAACGTATAACAAAAAATGCAGAAAATGTGCAAGCAACAAATTCAGTTTCAGACATTCGTCCTTCATATCAACAAAAAGAGCTACAAAAACGAATACAAAAAATAATTTATTTCGGAGAAAATTTTCAGGAAAACAAGATTGGAAATTGTAATTTCATAAAATTATGTAACACTACATGTCAATGTTTCATCAGTGCTTAAACCAATGCTAAATAATATGGATACGTTTAATACGACTAAAAAAGAACAAAAAATCAATATAGCGTTAATAAAACATAAACGATTTTATAAAATGGAGACAGATCTTCAATTTTCGAATCATATCTCGCTGATGGAAAAATTTAATTATGAACTTAATAATTACAAAAATAAGGCATTTACCTTATGCAGTGTTTATGACAATACAGGGGGAGGAAAATTTTTTAAGCCTAGCATATAAAGAGAAGTGTTTTCAAATCATTCTTGTGTTGTAATTGAGGTATGAACTGTCAACAGTATTTCCACAAAAAGATGAGTTCATATCTCTCTTCATTTGTTAAGTTCAACATTTGACATTTAGTCATTTTGATATTTTTTTAAAAACTGAAAAATTCCAAAATCATGTTGAGATTAGGTATCTCACAAAAGATTGTATAGCATCAAACAATTTCAATCACTTCTTGCGTGTAATTTATGGTCACCCTCCTCCATCGTATACCATAGTCAAAGAATAAGAAAAATCTTCATAGTTGTGCAGAGACTTGATGAACGTTGACTCTCACACTTTTGTGACAATAGTGAAAACAGTTCTAGATCTTATGGCCAAAATCCAAGTGTAGTTCATGAAATATTCCAAATGCCCAATAGTACGTTAGCTACGATCCTCAGCATCACAGCAGACAGTGTCTTCAATATATCACACGAAAAATGTTACTTGGAGAACGTTTGTTCGCGTTCATTCGGAAAGTCTTTGATATTTTTTTGACAGATGATCACATTTCTCTTTGTGATTGATTACTCAAGCTTCTGGAATGTAGCGAATAAATCAATAGTAGTTGGTAATGAAGCCTGGTTCTAGTACTACAAATCAAAGACCAAAGCGAAGAGAATGTATTATTATACAGTGGTGGCAAGGCATCAGTAGAAAGTCGCCTCCAAACAGATGATTTCCAACATATGACTTCCGTTTCTGGGATACAAACGGTATATTAATGATTGGCTTGTCACCAAAAAATACTATGGTCTTGGGTCTGTACCACGCTCAATAGATGTATGGATTGCGTTATGTAGTAGAAGTAAAATATTGTTTTCTTCTGGCGAGAAAATTTGTCTTCACATGACAGCTCGCAAGTGAATATTTGGAAAAGCATTGTCACCACCTGAATCTTGATTCAAATTCACCATCTATTGCATTTATTGGGGCCGGCCTCTAGCTAGTATTTCCACTTTTCAAATATGAAAAATGTCTCAATAGAAAAATGCGGTGCTCGATTTTATAAAAATTTCCAAGGATTTCGAGGTGATGACCAATTGACTAACGTAGAAAACTCTCTAT